CAGTTCTCAATGTTTGTTTATGTTCAGCAAACGCATATAAATTTATCTATTTTATTTGAGTGGTTCCCAAAAGAAGAGAAAATGTATTGTCTTCATTATGTTGCAAATTGTCAATTCTGAATTGTCTAGCTACGGATTATGATTTTACAGGAGTTAATTAGTTTTTGTATTTGTTATAGGATATGAGAAACACACATACTTGCTAAGTTGTTCTACTACAAAAAATTAGGAGCTTGATATTACAACAGCATAAAAAATAAGAAATTATAAATTTTATTAGCCTTAACAACGCAGGAGCGGCAAATTTGCTACTGATAATATAGAAGGGTTGGGACGATAGAACTTCATGGAAATAAGACTAAATACGGTCATCCGTCCCCGTTAGGACGCGTGCCTTCCTGGGCCAGCGCAGCAAACAAGCCCAACAACACCTCTACGTCTCTTCTATCTCTAAAATTTCCCCACTCGCACTCGCAACGGTGTCGCGGCGTCACTGCACATACGTCCGCCCCACTGCACCCCCACCGCACGTCCGTCTCTCGCCGCGTCATGCCCTTCCCCCACCACACACCCAATCACCCGCGCGCCACGCGGCCCGCGCCCCATCGTCACCCGCGAGCAGACGGCGCTGGACGACTGCGACCGAGCAGCAGCGGCGCTGGAGAAGGCGCACCGATGGGCGCGAGCGTACGCAGCGAGCAGGCGCGGGAGAACCGCAGGAGGAGCGACAGGCCGACGTCCTGCAATAGACGTTGCCACTAGGTAGGTCGTGGCCGCGATAACGCCGTGTTTCCAGTGTTTTAGGCGTTTCAGACTTTCAAGCGTTTCATCTGGACGTTGCCAAAGTCGATCTGGGATGTTGCATATGTTGCAATGACAGTATACGCATGTTGCAAGCCTTTGTTTTATTTAAATGTTTCGTCTGGATGTTTCAAAAGTAGATCTTGGTATTACACATGTTGCAATGGCTACACACATATGTTTCAAGTGCATGTTTCAAGTGTATCATCTATTTCGGACTTATATTGCAAATGTTTCATCTAAATATTTCGAAGGTAGATTAGGTGTTCTAGGCCGCCGTCCGCCTACTGCTGCTGCTATGGCGCCGTCCTAAGGCCGACAGATGCTTCCGCGGTGCGCATCCGCAGGCGGGGCAGGTGCGCGCAGGATGGGCGCTGGCTGCGATTCCGCCGTGTGAGCACAGGATGGATGCTGCCTACGATTCTGCCGTGTGAGCACGAGATGGGCGTGGGGTGTGGTTTTGGACGCTTGCGCTGGATGGGAACAGGACCGGGCGCGTGAGATACGAAGCGGGCACTAGGCGCGGGAGCTGTGTCTAGACGCGGGCCTGACGCTGGACGTCCGGGCGCTAGCCTTACCGATAATGAAAACAAACAATTCGTAGAACAAAGTACAAGGTGGACTGTATAAAGTCATAATATAATTTAGGATGGAGCCTAGCAAAGTGCAACGCGATAGAACCAGCAAATTTGGTCTGTAATCCCGAATACAGGGTTGAGAAGATTATTAGGAAACAAACAACTGATGAAGCCCAGATAGATATTGGCAGATCTCGCCTAGCTTGCACGAAGAGCGGTCTAAAGGACTGCATAAAACTCATGCCTTCTCGAATTTAATTGCAGTACGTATGCCACCGTTACCGGCCGAAACCTACATAAGTTATACAGAAAATTAATCAAGGGAACATATATAAGATATCTCAAGTTTCGACTGTTATAACGGGCCTATATGTGAGAATATATAAAGAACAAATAAAATTCCCAATGAAGTTTGTGTAGTTACATCACATCAAGAATTATAGGTATATGTGATATGCTTTATTCATACACAAACCTATTGGGGTGACTCATATATACAGCCATATTATTCAAACTTGGGTTACAAGTATCCATAACGGCTAGGGTTAGCTAGAGTATACATCTCTAATAATAGAGACAAGGGTGTCTTAGTTTTAAGTATTTCCAGATATGGATGAAAGGAGTCAAAAAAGGACATTCACTCACGGACCTTAGAGCCATGGGGCTCGTCGAGCGTCATAGGCCCTGCGTGGTGCACGGCATACCATATGTGCCGGCACTGACACATGGTCGCAGGCCCTTTGATGGGGGTGTATGTGATAACCGGTCCAGTTTGGAATTTGTCCCATAGTCGGCCATGTGCATGTTAAGGAGCTATGTTCTAGGTTGAACTGGAGCAACTCGTGAGCCAAGGGATGCCATGTGGCGCCATCCTTGCAAGTGCCACTACCTCGAGGTACTCTCGGAGGATGATCCGGGGTACGACTCTGATGTGGCGATGGCTACATCCTGGCGCACGAGTGTTTATTTCTACCTCCATGGTGATCCGCGGGGCCCTGACGAGCCCCACGTGGTGCCCCCAGATCAAAGTCCGACGAGTCACGTTGCCTACCTCTGGGAGAAGGCCGAGCGCCTCAACGCCCGATATGCCGACCTCAAGGCTGAGCACGCCGAGCTTGAGACGAGGAAGGATGAGATCGAGCGCCAGCAGGCAAACAACTAGCGCTCACGCCCACGAGCACGCCGTCCAGAACGAGCCCGACAACCGGCCTACAGCGCCTCCCTCGGTCGATGTACAACATGGCGGCCACTGCCCGTCACCTTGGCGACATCTCCGACACGCCAGACCTAAAGACTGCCAATCACCTAGGTGACATCTCCGACACGCCGCGCCGGACCTGAAGACTAACAAGAAGACCCGAGAGGCCCGACACTTCTTCAGCACCACCCTCAAGTAGCTGGCAGAGAGCTCGGCGTCCTGTCGTCACACCGCTGCCTTGAGGCCACCCTAGCCAACACCTACACCAGAAGAGGACCACTCTGAAGCACACACCCCCGCAGCAGCAGCTAAGCCAACAGCTCTGACCGGCCACCAAAGACAAGGAGCGCCAAGCAGCCCTTGCATGAGCAGCGAGGCAAGCCCGACCCCCGCCGACCACCCGCACATGATCGGATCGGAGAAGACCGGGATGTGCAGGACACAATCGAGGCAAGGCACCGGCGCTCAAACCAAGTCACTGCCCCCCGTTCCGACCAATGTGAGGGGAGCCCGAGCCAGGACCACTTACATGTCCCTTGTTGTTCGTGTCAAGGATAGGGGCAGCTCGCTACCCCCATGTGTTTCTGACTGTCGACCCGGCTAGTAAGATGGGGAGACCGACCCCAACAACTGGCTCGACGACTACTGACTCACAACCAAGGCATAAACAAACCATACTAAACCGATGATGACTACATTCATGTGTATAAAACGATCATTTAGATAATGACAACTAAAAATTTTAGACACTACTCCCTCCATAAATCAAGGTATTTAAACATTCAAAAATTGTCCTAAATTATAACTTATTCTAGATGAATTAACTCCACTAAAGCATCAATCACATGAGTTCCTGCCATTAGCGTCCACTACTAGGTTCAAAATATGGTAAGCACAAGATCCATCTACATGTCATTTGCTTTATCCCATAATAATCTGTCCAAAAGTTCATATGACACCTTGTATTTTGGGATGAGAGACTAGTATATAATAAGTGAATACAAAAAGTTCAACAATATCCAATGCATCATCATCTTCTGATGTGTCACTAAGTTAGAACATTATTATCAAAGTTATGTCAAACAAAAGCTGTAGTGAACTTATTAAATAGGAAAATGTATGCCCATCATATTAAAAATCTGGTGCGTTATACTTACGCTTGTAGGGTCCATTGGAGTGTAAAACACATGTATATTGAGTTCCGAAATCCTTGTGGCTCCCGTATACGAGATTGCTGTTCGTTTGACAGTGCCCCTGGCCATAGTAAGTTCTCCGGTCCCTCCAACAATGCTCCACTCACCATTTATTTGGGAAGTCCCTTGTACTTGTAGTGTGGACCCATTGAACCTGTGTTGTGCACAAAATCAGAAAAGAATATCAGAAAAATTCTCAGCATATATATATATATATATATATATATATATATATATATATATATATATATATATATATATATATAGAACTACTACTCTGCAGCTGGCTATAAAAATAACTTATTCTATAGCCACTTTGCTTTGAGTTACGATAATTATTAGGCTAATTTACATGATTATAGTAATTCCTTACTAAGTGGTTTACTATAATATTACGGTAAATATCCCCGTGTGTTATAGTAACATAATTATAGTAAATATGTATCCACTTTATCGTAAATTAAGTATAAAAATTATCGTAAATGGAGGTTGCTACATGATAACTTATTCTATAGCTAGCTACTGAATATACTCTCCATATATATATATATATATACTCCAATAGCAATGAAAAGTTATTCTGTCAGGTTTCTTGCAATCGATCAATATATATTTTTCTCAACATTATATACACCACTATAAAAAGGATTTTAAGAGACATGCTTCATGATTAATAGAGGCGGATATTTTTAAGAGCTGCCTCTGTAAACTGTGACGCTGGGTAGATGCCCGTCTCTGTAAATCATCTACTAGTGATATACTGTGCTATGTTAACACACAAAAAAGGGGGATGAAATTCGGTGAGTAGTACGCTTCTCTTGAAAAACACAGAAGTCAAACTTGTGCTTTAATCAAGAGACCATATAAGAATGAAAACTAGGTAATCCACTAGAAGATATCCCGTAAGTTGCTATGGGAATTACAGAGAATTTAGAATGAAATTAAGTAAAGATGATTTGACGCGTTGCTGTGGGAATTGCAAAGAATTTGCAATGAAATTAAGTAAAGATCGTATGGATATAGCTTGCAATTAATTAAGAGCTTGAAAGTTAGTAAAGTGACATGACTATTAGCGAAAGATGATGCGGATACTTAGTGGGAGATAATGTGGATTACTTGCATGTTAAGATAGATTTGCAGTGGGGATTAGCTTTATAAGAGATATAGATTGGGCTCCTCTTATGCGTGAATTGAAGAAATGAAAAGCTGATGGTACTAAAGAATAGATTATCACCTGCTATTCTCCCCGAACACCAATCCAAGGTTGTAGTGCCACACATAATTGGGGAAAATTGCTACTTCGACACATGTGCCCTGAAGATGGCCGACGATTGTTGCATCGGCACCGCCTGCTGGCCCATCGGTTACAGGCCACGAGAAGGCCCAGGTAGTACCAATTGGCCCTCCGTTCACTAGAGTGGTTACTCCGTTAATATCCCGCCCAGAATACACCTCCTTGTTGTATAGGGTCATCTTAAGCTCACTTTGGACCGGAGCTACTGAGTAAGAGGAGGCCATGGCAGCTGTCTTCTTCTTTCCTTGTGTTTTCTGAGGAGGAGATGTGTTGTAGTATTTATAGCTAGACTAGATTGAAGGAAGGGCGTCCTAACGTACGGGTAACTCCGCCGATCCAGCTGGCCATAGACTAAAGCAGATATAAACAAGAGCGAGGAATAAGCCATGAAATTTCGTCTCGCTTAGAGACGAATGAATAAACCAGACGCTCAACTCTTGGCATATATACCCGGCCGGACTCGCGTTAGGCAGTGGCCGGCCGAGAGTTGTCACTGCCTAACATCTTACTATTACTAATTAGAGACCCCAATAAAGGCACCACGTTAATTCTCACTAGACGTGCTAGAATAAAAGATAAATTTAAGAAATTCTCACAATAATTACTATTACTAATTAGAAGCCCCAATGAAGGCATCACGTTAATCCTCACTAGACGCGCTAGAAAAAAAGATAAATTCAAGAAATCCTCACAATATTCAGAAACATCTGGCCTTTGATTTGGTAGACTCTAATCATCATAACCGATAATAGCCATTGAATTTATTGTAGTTTATTAAAAATTACCCACCACTGCCATTATAAAAAAACACATAAAGTAACCCCGTAATTTTGCATGTAAATTACCCACATCTGCCATTGCAAAAGATAATTCAAAATAACCTCCTATATTTATATATATATATTATCCACATTTGTCATTATAAAAAATAATTCAAAGTAACCCCTAAATTTGTGTCTAAATTACCCACTTCGGCTATTATGAAACATAATTTAAAATAACCCCCTAACATTGCGTCTAAATTATTCAGCTTTGTCATTATAAAAGATAATCTAAAATAATCCTCTAACTTTGTATCTAAATTACTCACATCTACCATTATGAAAGATAGTTCAAAATACCTCCTATGATTTTATAAATTATTCACCTTTATCATTATGAAAGATAATGCAAAGTAATATTCTAAGTTTTCATTTAACCTATCCATATATATTGTCGTGAAAGATAAAATAAGGTATTACCTTTATATTTGTATGTACCTTAGCCATTATAAAAAATAAACAAAAATATCTAAAATCTACAAGTAAAATAGCAATATACATTAGTTCAAAAAATAAATCAGTATCCATAAAGTACGATACATATATATTTCTAAATTACAGACTTCTACAATCATGAAATAAAATAACTATAATGTTATGTTCCATCATGTATATCAAATAAACATGTATATATTAGGATAAATATTTATTTTAACAACTTATGAAACATGAAAAAATGTTTGACATATCTATATTTTTAAATAATCTGGTTTGACATGTCTATATTTTTGACATGTCAAACTTTATGATTATACTATAAATATATCTAAATGTTTATATCTAAAGTAACATAAATATATCTAAAGTAACAAAAATATTTATGATTATACTATAAATATATCAAAATGTTTAACGTGTCTATATTTTTGTTACTTTAGATATACTTATGTATTTTAACTGAAATATTCGACATGTCTATATTAGTATAATCATAACTACAAATATAATTTCTTCATAGGAAAAATCAATCATCTTGAGAAGTGTGGGAGAACATTGGTGGCTATATTTTCCTGGCCCTTTAAGAATACTTAAGAGTGAAAAAACGATCACTATAAAGTTTAAGTATTAAAATTTTGTTGAGGTTAGCGCTGCTACCCTTGGCCGAGATATCACTTCAAGCTCTGTGACTTATCTGAAGCGATATGGTGCATGCAAATAATGACTTCTATTATAGTACTTAAGAACATGCTCTATGACCTAAAATTCAAATTTTTAAAAAGTGCAAAAGGGAGAGTTAATGAAAGATATAATAAGCACAAGAGTTTCAACTTAACTTGAGGAGAGAGAAAAATTCCATAGCAGTCAATAAGAATAAAATTTGAAAAAAAATAGATTTATGACTTCATAAAATACATGATACAATAAGAGCCACCATGATTAACAGTAAGGTGTCAAAGTAATTGCATATTAAAAATATATAGAGGTGCCATGTGAAGGAAAAATATGAATATGGATAAAAAATGTATGGATTAGTTCCTTGAAAAAATAGTAATTAATAATTTTATGATAACCGGATATAGACCACAAAGTATCTACTGTCTTTTATGTTAGAAAATAAACAAAGAGAAAAAATGTACTATTTAATATAATTAATTCTTTATTAGTCAGATGTACATGTACTCCCTTCTTTCCAAATTATAAGACATTTTGAGTTTTCAAAATACATAGAATTTGCTATACACTTAGATGTACTGTCTAGATATATAGTAAAAATAATATATCCAAAAAAGTCAAAACTTCTTATAATTTGAAATGAAGGGATTATTAAATAGTACATAATACTTATATATCTCCTAAAATTCTAGCCCGTGCAAGAGCGGGTTGATGGACTAGTTATTATATAATAAGGTATCCATCATACTGTATAGTATACACTAAGGCCACGTACAACACGCACCCTTTTTTTAGAATTACACAGTACAACGCAGACGCCCACGGCACGCACGCACACTCACCCCTATGAACATATGTACGCAAACCCTATCCCTATGAGCACCTCCGAAGGACTGAGCCGGCAGATCTCGAGATTAACGAAGTCACCAATGGCGCCTCACTGTCGACGGGGTCATCGCCTACTGCTGAAAGCATGGCGCCGTTAAATCCTAGAATAAATCCAGAAAAATACGAGCACCCGTGCCAAGTAGAGAACTTGAACCCGAATAGACAGGTTCCACCACAAAGAACCTAACCAACTGATCTACGATCAGTTCGCAACACGCACCGCTTTTTGTACATCAAAAAAGGAATAGCTATCGGAGGAATGGAGCTGCTAGTGCCTGGACGTCTGGCTATGGGTCATACACGTAAGCTAATGCACAGCCATCGTGCCCGCGCATATGGGTGGCATCCGATTGAATGGACGCCTGCCTCCAAGTATTACTCGTTGGAGAAACACCTTTAAATCACGAACAGTACAATTGAAAAAATGCTAATACTCTCGGCGATTCTATCGCCCGGACGTCCGGCGCGCGAGTGCGTGTGGACACCGATCCACTTCCAAACTCGCCCGTCCCCTGCGTGAAATAGAACAGAACCCGCCACACCCGTGTATAGAAACGGAACCCGCCCCTGTCCTCCACTCTCCACCGCGCCCCTATCCCCGTTCCCCAATGCACCCGTTCCCCACAGCGCCCCTATCTAAAAAAGAACACGAAACACTTCAAGTGCAACATTGCAAACATATGGAAAACTAGGTAGTGCAACATCGGGATATAAATACTACAACATCACAAAAAATATGTAGTGCAACATTGAAAAACTTGTGCTGCAACATCGAAATGTACTGCAACAAGGAAAATTATGTACTGCAACATCGAAAAAATAAGCACTACAACATCAAAAAACATGTAATGCAACATCGAAAGAATATGTACCGCAACATCAAAAAAATGTGCTGCAACAACAAAAATTATGTACTGCAACATCGAAAAAATATGTACTGCAACATCGAAAAACATGTCCTGCAACATCAAAAAAATATGTACTACAACATCGAAAATTATGTACTGCAACATCGAAAATTATGTAGTGCAACATCTCAAGCAGTAGTAATACAACATTGCAAAAACATCTGTTGCAACGACCCAAAAATCTCATTGCAACAATCGAAAATCACCTGTTGCAACATCCCAAAAAACCCATTGCAACATGGGAGAACAACAAAAAAAAAAGCGTACAAAACAACCCCGACCCATCACCTTGAGCTCGCCGGAGGGAGGAGAATAAGAACCCCAAAGCTCGCGGAACCCTAGACACCGCCGCATCCCTTAGATCTAGAGGAGGAGGAGGAGGAGCTTCAGATCCAGAGAGGAGGAGGAGGGCTCACATCTAGAGAAGGACCGATCTACCTCGTTAGAGCCACGCCGCCGTCGTCCTTGTCTCCGGTGGGGGGGGAGCGGGAGCAGGTTATTGGTGTCACGCCCCAAAATTTATATTTTGGGTTATGAATAGAAAACACTAAATAAAATAAATGATTTTGTAATTTTATAAAATTTCCAAGATTTAATTAGGGTCTTTACAATTTAAATAATGCAAAATGTGACTTTCTCAAACTTTTAGAATGTAATTTAAATGGTTTGCTGCATTCATGCCAATGCATTTATTTTAATTATATGAAAATGAATTTAAAAATTCGATTAAGTCTCGAATGTGGTTTTGCTCTATTTTCAAAATTTTCAAAACAAGTTTCAAATTTATTTTATCAAATCAAGTTTCAAATCCATCATTTATTTATTATTTATTTATAAAAATACAAAATCATTTCGGTCAAATCTCCTGGCCTAATCTTGTCATATCTAATTAGATAGTCATATCCAGCCCAATCTTTTCCTCTCTTTTCTCTATAAAACTCTTAACCTTTTCTCCATTCTTTCTATATTTCCCTTGAGCTTGTTTTCCTTTTTGCGTGTTCTATTCTAGCATGCAAAAAGTCGACCACCCAACAAAGTTTGGCAGCCACGAACATGCACGTCCGTTCCACTCTTCAGCCATGATGGCGCATGCAAGCGCGTTTGTCTAAATCTAATGCAAACTGATATGGCACTCACTCCTCTTTTAAATTAAATCTCCATCAACGCATGCATATCAGCAAAATAGAACCCACAAGGTGACATACTAATTCTTCTCATAACTCCCTCACTTTTAATTGCATGCATGAACCGTCACCATAATGCATGGCTTTAACGTAGCTCCATCAACTCTGGCCATTCACCTCTTTAATACTTGACGTTCCGGCTGCCTCTCAAGCTCTATAAAAAGCAGACCATCGAACCTTTCCTAGACCTGCTGATCCACTCCTCTAAGACCTCTCGTTCATCATATCCGCCCAAGCATTATGATTGTGCATAAGCCACTTCTTGTCCGGCGCGTGGATGCTCGCTGCCGCCGGCCTCCCTCCGTTCTGG